CCACTCCCCCAACAGTCAACAGTCAACATTGCACAAAAGGCCACTGGTTGCATTTCAAACCACAAAAGAGACAATCCGAATCTGTATATAGATTACATTAATTGTATTACTCACTTCTCTGCGGCGGTCCACGGAATATCCTACATGAATGTCCTCACCATTACAAGCATAAGTTTTCATTTACAGCAACACAAATCACTCGTGTCAAACGTTGCTAAAAAACAGCTATTAACTCCTTAGACATCGGGCATGTGAGCGTTGCGAGAATTACCCCTGACTGAAAGCGATTGTTTCTCCACACACCGAGACAGGATATTCGACACTGGGAAAAGTTGACCTCACAGAATTGGGAATGTCACAGGCGGCGTGGAGAGGTAATATTGTTCTACATGTATGTACACCCAGGAACAAGTCAGATAAGACGTTCACGCTAGTCAAACAAGTGCAGAGTAGATATTCAATCTCACTATCAGCGTCTGTTGTGCAGCGGTCAAGTTATTTTTGCGATCTCAATTGCGAATCGAGGAACCCTGACTTTTAAATTATTATTTGTTTTGTAATGGCCAACATGATTAATAATTTAATCTATAATGAAACAAAGCAAAATCATGTACCGCCGACCTCTGCGGTGTAGCAAATGGGTAACCGTCGCTTGTAGGTAACCCAGGTTCGATTCCCGAGTAGGGAGAATTTTTTATGGAAGAAATTGTTTTTCGATCTTTCACATGAGATATTGTGTTCCTCTCAGCCTGATTTGGCCATGACAAGCAGGGTTGACTGCGCCTGCTAACTGGTCTAAATTGTGTCAATGGGGGCGTAGTATGTACATACAACTACTTTAAAAAAGTGATACTGACTGAAGTGTCTTTAGGCCATTCCCAAAGGGAAAGGGGGGGGGGGGACTTTGACATCTCGAGTTCTTATGCACAGTAGAATTTTAATTGTAAATGGGCCGATTCATCAATGGTACGCCCATAACTGTGCTTGAACTGCAACAGGGAACTACTGCTTTTTTCTGTCCTAATCCTTACTATCGTCATTTTTTCCTCTACTTCTTTTGTATGTTTGTCACTCTCTTGTGACCCGCTATTTCCCCAGTGCCTTGATAGTCGAAGAACACTTTGTGCTGTTGAAGCTAGAGAGGTGAGCAGAGTAAGCTTGATTCAGGACTTCTCTGTTGGTGCTCATAATATGACCTGTTCAGTTGCGAGGGCCGTAAAACCTCTACTAAAACAAACAAGGCAAACTCTGTCCAGTAGTCCAGCTCTGTGGGTTTTCTCCGACTGACCAGCCGAGTAATGAAAAACAGCAGAGTGTTGCACCACGCCCGCCCAAACCAGGCTCGAGGAGGGGGCACGATCAATATGTCACCCGCAGTCCCGGGGCCCATGCGTGTGCGTGTGCGTGTGTGTGTGTGTGGTGTGTGTGTGTGTGTGC